AGTATTATAATCCTAGCTGCCATTTTTCTTCAAAGCAGTCAAGGAACTCAGAATGGGTCAATCAACCTTGAGAGAGAAGAATAAAGCTGGAGGCCTCTTGTTTCCTGGTTTGAAAACTTACTGCTAAGGTATGGCAGTGTGGTCCGGCACAAGGCCTGACGTGTAATGTGAGAGGTTATAATTGATGGTCCAGACAGCCTTAAAATTTATTGTCAATTAATCTTCATCAAGAACACAGATATTGTTCAATGAGTAAAGAATAGTTTTCAAAAATAGTGCTAAGACAAACGGACGCCCATGTGCCAAAGAACAAAATTGGGCCCTGTCATATATAATACATATATAATACATTTTTAAGACAAAACATAGGAGTAAATTTTCATGCTCTCAGTTCAGGCAATCATTTCTTAAATCTACTATAAAAGTATGAAGATAAAAAAATTCATTGAACTTTGTCAAAGTGGAAACTACTATAAAAAGAAAACACAACCAGGTGTGGTGTCACAAGCCTGTAATTCCAGCACCTGGGATATGGAGACAGGACAATCGGGAGTTCAGTTCCAACCTCATCTGCAAAGTCAGCCTGGACCTGGCAGTTTGATCAAGCTTCAGTGGATGGCCTGACAGCTCCAAGTATACTAACATCGTGCCATGGAGTCACTGGGTTAGTAAATAAAAGTCTTTAAAGGAGGATATAAAATTAGGGAGCTAGAGAGGCTGGGATGGAATTGGAAAGAGCTAAAAGGGGAGGAGGTGAGGGTGAATATGATCAAAATACATTGTATGAAATATTCAAAGAGGTGCTGAAGAGATGGCTCAGCGGTTAAGAGCACTGACTGCTCTTCCTAGAGGTCCTGAGTTCAATTCCCAGCAACCACATGGTGGCTCACAACTACCTTGAATGAGATCTAGTGCCCTCTGCTGGCATGCAGGCAGAAGACTGTATACATAATAAATAAGTAAAAAAAAATTTAAAAAAAGAAATATTCCACTCTGGCTCTGGACACATGGGGAAGGGCCTAGGCCCAGCACAGGAAGATTTGGTGGACTTTGCAGAGCCCCTGTTTATTCAAAGAATCAGTAAAAATAAAATATCAGAAAAGAGAAAAAGAAAGTGATAATATGAATACACATAAAAATATTTGCACATTAAATATCTGATTAAAGACTTGTGTCTATAATATACCTTTCACAGCCTTACAGCTCGGGGCTGAAGAAATGGTTCAGTCATTAAGAGCATTTGCTGCTCTCCCAGAGGACCCAGGTTCTGTTCCCAGCATTTACATGTATACTCACAAACATCTGTAACCATGGTTCTGAGGGATCAGACCCTCTTCTGGTCTCCAATGGCACCGCACACATGTGGTACATAGACATATATACAGGCAAAATAGGTATACACATAATATAAAATAAATAAAATAAAACCTTAAAACTCAATAATTTAGAGAGAGAGAACTCATTGGTAAGATGAATAAGTGATTTGAATAAACATTTCTCTGAAGGGCATATATGGCTGAGCAATAAGCATGTAAAGAAATTTGTGGTGGTTTGAAAGAAAATGGCCCCCATAGGGAGTGGCACTATTAGGAGGTCTGGCTTTTTTGGAACAGGTGTGGCCTTGTCAGTGGAATGTGTTGCTTTGAGGGTGGGCATTGAGGTCTCCTTTGCTCAAGCTATGCTTATTGTGGCACACAGTTGCCTTACCTGTGGCTAAGGTCTTTCTTCCTGAGTCACTATACCTGTTCTTCAAGATGGTGATGCTCATGTCAAACTCAAAGAAAACAGCTACACTACACATATCACCTCAGATCACCCTTGAGACAGTATGAAACACATGATGTAATCCAAGCAATCAGGAAGCTGAGGCAGAAGGATTTGGAGTTTGAAGTCGTCCAAATCTGTACAACAAAACATTTCTTTAAAAAATGCTGGGCAGTACCAATTCGTTCAAGGGCACCTCCCACTTTCTCTTCTAAGAGGTTCAGTGTGGCTGGATTTATGTTGAGGTCTTTGATACATTTGGACTTAAGTTTTGTGCATGGCGACAGATATGGATCTATCTGCAGTCTTCTACATGTCCAATCTAGCTATGCTAGCACCACTTGTTGAAGATGCTTTCTTTTTTCCATTGTATAACTTTAGCTTCTTTGTCAAAAATCAGGTGATCGTAGGTGTGTGGGTTAACGGGTTTTCAATTCAATTCCATTGGTCTACCTGTTTACTTTTGTGCCAATACCAAGCTGTTTTCAGGACTATGGCTCTATAATAGAGCTTCAAATCAAGGATGGTGATGCCTCCAGACGTTCCTTTATTGTACAGGGTCGTTTTGGCTATCCTGGGGTTTTTGTTTTTCCATATGAAGTTGAGTAGTGTTCTTTCAAGGTCTGTGAAGAATTGTGTTAGGATTTTGATGGGGACTGCTTTGAATCTGTAGATTGCTTTTGGCAAGATTGCCATTTTTGCTATGTTAATCCTACCTATCCAAGAGCATGGGAGATTCTCTCCATTTTCTGGTATCTTCTTTAATTTCTTTCTTTAAAGACGCAAAGTTCTTACTATACAGGTCTTTCACATGTTTGGTTAGCATTATCCCAAGATATTTTTTGACTATTGTAAAGGTTGATGTTTCTCTGATTTCTTTGTCGGCACATTTATTTTCTGTGTATAGTAGGGCTACTGATTTTTTGAGTTAATTTTGTATCCTGCCATTTTGCTGAAGGTGTTTATCAACTGTAGAAGTTCCCTGGTAGAGTTTTCCAGGTCACTTATGTAAACTATCATATCATCTGCAAATAGTAAAATGGATGGAACTTAAAGAAACAATCTTGAGTGAGGTAAACCAGTCACAAAAAGACAAACATGGGATGTACTCACTCATATATGGATTTTAGACGTAGAGAAAAAGATTACCAGCCTATATTCCACACTGCCAGAGGAGCTGGGAAACAAGGATGACCCAAAAGAAGATTGCATGGTCCCTCAAAGAAGGGGAGGGGGACAAGTACCCCTGAGCATATTGGGAGCACAGGGGGAGAGGAGGAGGAGGAGGGAAGGAGAGAGTAGGAAAAGGGGAGGAGGAAGAGAACAGGACTGAGACAGGGGAGGAATAGAGGAGGGCAAGAAAGGAGATGCCTTGATAGAGGGAGACAGTACAGGTTTGCAGAGAGGTCTGGCACAGGAGAAGTGTTAGAGGATCCACAGGGATGACCCCAACTAAGAATCTAGGCAATGGTGGAGAAGATGGCATTGATGCCTTTCCCCTGTAATGAGATTGATGTCTATCTTGGTTACCATTCCTAGCGCCTTCATCCAGTAGCTGATTGAAGTTGAAACAGGCACCCACAGCTAAACACTGAGCCATTCTCCTGGAATCAAGTTGTGGAGAGGGAGTAGGGATGAGCAAAGGAGCCGAGATCGTGCTGGAGAAACCCGAAGAAACAGTTGACCTGACCCAGTAAGAGTACGGAGACCCTAGTTGTAAAATTGGGTAACAAGCATTGGATCGAACCAAGCCCTCGGAATGTGGGTGCCAGCTAGAAAGCCAAGACAGTCTATGCGACCTCCAACAGTGGAGCCAGTGTTTATCACTAGAGTACAAATGGACTTTGGGAGCTGATTCCCTATGGAGGGATACTATTGCAGCCCAGATACAGGAAGGAGGGCCTGGGCCCTCCCCCAAATGATGTGATGGACTTTGATGGTCCCCCGTGGAGGGCCTCACTATCCCTGGCAAGGGGGAGAGGGGAAGGTTGGGGGGGTTGTGGGGAGCATGGGAGGATGGGAGGTTGAGGGAATGGGGATGAATATGTAAATAAGAGTCTTCTAAAATTACAAAAATTGCTGGGCAGTGGTAGCACACACCTTTTAATCCCAATACTCGGGAGACAGAGACACGTAGTGTCTGAGTTTGAGGCTAGCCTGGTCTATAGAGCAAATTCCAGGACATCCAAAGCTACACATAGAAACTCTGTCTTGAAAAAACAAAAACAAAAACAAAAAACTCTCAAATCAAATTCCTAGGAAGAAAGTATTGTCCTGTCAGAAAGGTGTCAGTTCCATATCCCAAAATATGCAACTCTGCCTGGACAAATCAGGACTCAAACCCAGTTCTGTCAATTCTATTGCTACTTCCCTTCCCCCATACCAGTCCTGATGCCAGGATCCCAGGCTTGGGCCCTGGATACTGTGTGCCCTAACTACCCCCACTCCTCCCCTCTCCCAAGCCCCATGCTGCTGGTTGGGTTCAGACTTTCTGTTCATTTCCCTTGCCAGCCAGTCTGTAGACAAAAGCAAATCTTGGCAGAACAGCTACCTGGCTCCATTCCTTATGGGAAGGAAGTCCATAGCCAGAGAAGTACACTGTGTCTAAGGAAGCCCTGGAGGTCCCAAGGGAAGGGACAGAAAATACTCTCCTCTGTAAATGGGTCAGGCCAGAGACTTCTGCCTACCTGCCTTCCTACCAGGGACCCTTAGAGGGAATGGGCAAGAAAAACATGATCCTTGCACAGGAGCTCATGGCTAGATCCTATCCCAAACAGACATGAGAACAAAGGATCATAGGGGAACAGCTGTGGGAAGCAGGCATTCTGTAGCGGGGCAGTCAGGAGCTCTGGCTTGCCCTGCAAGTTCACAGTCTGGATGTCTAACCCAGCCCTCACCCCTTTCCAACGTGATCCCAGCAAGTTTAGAATGGCCTGCCTGTTCCCATTGCCCCTTTCTGCCTTAGCAACAGGAGGGCTAGGCTGGGAGCAGGGGCTTTTCCTAGGAGAGAAGACTATCTGGGGGGAAGGTGGGATGAAGAAGATGAGGGGAGGTGGAGTCAGTTATCATTGTCATCTCACCTGACAGGTCAGGCTTTCCTACAGGCTGCCTTGTTTGGCTGAGTCAGTCAAGCCAGAGGCGGATTGGTGGGATAAGGGCCAAATATTGCCAGAGTGGTGCTGCTCCTTCATAAAGAGAGGATGAGCTTCTTGGAGTTCAGCACAAGGTTCGGGACCATGGCCAAGAGGAGTGGTAAGTGGGGTCCTCCTCCAGGTCTGGAAAAGGCTGAGCAAGGAAGGGCTAGACACTGAATAGGCATAGGTGCTGGATGGGTGAGGGACATCAATTAATGGGTTGGGTGTAGAACTGAGGACATCGCAGCAGAGTATCATATAAGAGTGAAGAGAATAAAAACTGAGACTGGGATTCAGCTTCGCCAGGACCTGGGAATATGTCAGGGTGTTGAAAATGAGTTCAATGGAGAGGGATCTGGAGGATGGGTCTGGGGTTGGAGCCATTCTGGGGAAAGTACAGAAGGACCAAGAAACAAATGCTGATAGCTTGGGGGAAACTGTAAGGGCTGGAGACTGGATAAGAAGGTTAAGGTAGACCTGTGGTGTGAGGACAGAGATGGAGGCTTAGGGGTTCTCTCCCTTGGGCCTCTTTTCTAGCAAGCTGTCCCAGCAGAAGGCTGTCTTGGCATTGGGAAGGGTCTGGCGCACCTCCTAAGCTGGTGGTTCCTAAAAGTCCTCTTCCTTGGAGGATCTTCAGTTGCCTTGACATTACAAAGATCAAAGTAAGGGGGTTCTCACCAGCCAAAAACTCAGCTTCTGGACAAAGCCCAGAATTACGTCCTCGCCTGGTTCACTTGAGAGCAAGTGACAATGAGGAAACCATATAGCCCTTCATGTCAGACAAGACTAGCTAGCTGTGAAAAAGAGAATCAAGTCACCCAAGGCTTGTTATATGGTAGTCGTTAACTATCTGAGTGATATGTTCTAGTCTTGACATCACATTAAATACCTGGGAAGCCTGGAGAAATCATAGATGAGGCTGGAGAAAACAGAGGGACTGCCTGTTTCCCACAGGTCACTTCTCACTCCCAATCAGAGGACTGAACCTTCCTCTCTCGCACACTCACCTTTCCACAAGTATACACACACCCCTCTCTCCCTCTCACGTGTTCGCTCACTCTCTTCCCCACACAGCTTCACTTTCCAGAAGCACTCACAGAACCCACACAAGCACCCACCTTCTCATACATCTCACTCTCACTCGCTCTAAGATCCAGCCCAGCTCACACTCCAGTCCTCAGTCCATCTCACTCCCATAGAGTCATACGCACTGAGACAGCCACACTGTGCCACAGAAGCATCCCTCACATGCAGTCATCCAAAGCAAGAGCAAACTACAACCACACTCCCACCCACAAACTGATGGTTACACAAACACAGTCCTTTACACACTCACAGGTGAGCACGCATGCACACTCCCCATGAGGAGCAGACACATGTATAGTCAGCTCTGACTCTCCCACATCCATGAGCTTCCAGGGTGCAAGCTGTGTTCACAATCACACATTAATCACACAAATAGCACTACAGTTCACAATAGCCTGCACAACACAATTGCCTCCATATAGACATAATGCCAAATATCCGTAGCTATAGCCACACACTTGTCAGACACTGCTCTCACCTGATTGCCCTGTGCCAGATCCCACAGTCCAGCTCATCATGGATAAACAGGTCCCAGTGGCTCCAGATAGGCCACTCCCTTGCTTTCTCTGCCCCCAGGCATCTTTATTTTGGGGATCCTGCTATCCATGCCCAGCTGCCTTGCCTTCTATGAGGACCTTGACAAGTGTTTCCAGGACCCGGATTATAACACCTTCCTTCTCACAGCCCAGAATGGGCTCCATACCTCCCCACTGCCCAAGAGAGTGGTGGTAGTGGGAGCTGGCATAGCAGGCCTTGTGGCGGCTAAGACCCTACAGGATGCTGGTCACAAGGTAAGAAGGCCTTGAAAGGCCTCGGGCATCAGCCTCCTATTTGCCTCCTGGGGTGGAAAAGGAGTGAGTGACCTGACAGGGAACAATGCACAACTGCATGCACCCACCAGTCTCCGTAGCCCACGGCCCTTAATCATTGCTAACTGCCATTCGTGTCCTTATGGAGGCAAGAATGAAGACACACGCTACCAGGAAAGGGCCTCGAATAACTCAGGACCCTCTGGAGCAAACAGCCTCAGTGAAGTCATCCTACATGTTCATGACCTCCAAGCCAGAGCCTATGGCTATTGGGAGGTGAGAAATGGGATGGGGAGAATAGGCAACACTCCCTAAGAATGACAGCAGTTTCTCTGAACTCCAGGTAACCATCTTGGAGGCCAGCGACTACATCGGAGGTCGGATACTCACAGTCAGAAACAAGAAGGAAGGCTGGTACATTGATTTAGGACCGATGCGAATCCCAGAAAGCCACAAGTAAGTCCTGTACAGGAGAAGGAGCAAAAAAAGCAGGAAGGACCCCAAGTGTCATCACGTCTAAGATCTTTTAGACTCACCGTATCAAGTGATACAACCCAATAAGTCAGGGCTGATACTCAACTCCCACCTCAGAGAGAAGGCTGCTGTCACAGAAAGCCTCGGTCCCAGGAAATAATATATCCCAAACTGACAATTGCCGTCATTGTTGCCAACTCATCAAACTGTAGAATGCAAATATGGGGAGTTTCATATTTGTCGGTTACATCAAAACAAGCTGAGAAGTTATAACACATTGTTATTAAGAATGTCTACCATTTATTGAGCACTAACTTTGCTCTAGATCCTATCTCCACAGATGTTTCTTCTTTTCTCTTTTGCCTTTAATATAAATTGAACTCACACTCACCCTCCAAGCCACTGAAAACATAAACAACTGCACCAGCCCAAAGTGGAGTCATTAAATGCAGCCTCATAGTTACTTAGAAGTGCATGATGGAATCTCAAATGCTGCTGAAACAAAGGACATCTGTCTATCCGTTTGAGTCCTATTAGCTGGGACTTCATAAAGGGCCTGAATTCAATGAACTGCTAGCCCTCTGTAGTCTTGGGAGGTGGGGGGCTAATGCCCACAACATTAAATGAGATTACAATTGAACAAGCAGTTAGTTTGAGCTTCCTAGGCACAAGGTTACCCTGGTTTCACCAGAAATAGTTGCTAACATGGAGCCAGAAGGGACAAGGATATTGTTCTGCCTGTTTCTGCTCCAGGCTAATCCACACCTATGTCAAGAAGCTTGGTCTGAAGCTGAATAAGTTCATCCAGTATGATAACAACACCTGGTACCTACTCAATGGGCGGCGTTATCGTGCCTGGGAAGTCAAGGCTAACCCCGGGATCTTGGGCTACCCCACGAGCCCCACAGAGAAGAGCAAAACTGCCCAATACCTCTTCCAACAAGCCATCACTAAGGTGCCTGCTGCCTTTCCCAGGTGGGATCAAGTAGGAAAGGGGTCGTGCCTAAGGTCACGCAGCAAATCAGTACATGGATTCAGATCACTTGAACCCACCCAACATTGTGATGATTGGTCGACCTGCCTTATAACACCTGTTAATGATGTCACCACTCTCAACCCTTCTCTTCTGTCTTCAGGCAGTCTAGAGAACATGACTTGGTCAGCAGCAGTGTAAAGAAAGGGTTAACTAGATTCGGCAGTCCTTGGTAGTGAGTCAGTCATCCTAAATGACAGTGAAGATCTTTACCTTAAAGTGTTTGTGTGTGTGTGTGTGTGTGTGTGTGTGTGTGTGTGTGTGCGCGTGTGTGCCCACACATGTGCGCATGTGTGTTTAGGCAAATGTGGGTGCATGTGCATATTTGTGTAGAAGCCAGTAGTCAACGTCAGCTATCTTCTTCAAGCGCTTCCTACTTCATTTTATTTTATTTTATTTTTGGCAGAGTTTTTCATTGAGCCAAGCTTACTAATTCTGCTAGGTTGGATGGCCAGCAAGCCCCAGGAATTGTACCTTCCCAATGTTGCCATTGCAGTCATGTGATATCACACTCTGATTTTTTTTTATTTGATGTGCGTTGGTGTTTTGCCTGCATGTATTAGTCTGTGAGAAGGTGTCAGATCCCCTGGAACTGGAGTTCCAGCTGTGAACTGCTATGTGGGTGCTGGGAATTGAACTGAGGTCCTCTGGAAGAACAGCCAGTGCTCTTAACCACTGAGCCATCTCTCCAGCTCCAACACACCCTACTTTTATATGGGTGCTGGGGCTAGAGTTCAAGTCTTGTACAGCAAATGTTCTCCCAACTGAATATTCACCTTTAATGTTTGTCTTGAGTGGGTCTTTTGTTTCAAGTCAGGTGTGGTAGTACAACCTGGAAAGTGGAGGCAGGGGATCTAGAATTGAAGAGCAGCCTCAGCTAGGCTGTGCGAGACCCTGTCAACAAAAGCAGGAGTGTCTTTAAATGAAGGGAAGGAGCAGCATCCAGGTGCTCTGGGAACTGCCCTTTTCTGGGTTTTTTTCCAGCCTCGCCAAGGGACATCCAAAGAACCTGACTCTAATCTAAAGGCATGTGAGGCATCTGTGACCTTGTCTATGGCAGCCTAGGTGTCCTGGGCTCCTGGAGGCCCGGCCTATTAATATCTCTCCTCCCCTTCTGCAGATCAAACAACGTATGAAGACATTGAACTGCAGCCAACTGATGTCCATTTGTGACTCTTACTCCACCAAGGTAAGTGAAACAAAAGGCCCCGGGATGGAGGTGGAGTGATGGGCTCTGGGCTAGGCCAAGGCCCTGCGTCAGTGTCCTGCCTACAGAATGCCCTCTTCCTACTGCCAAAGTGTTTGCCTCCCTTAAGCCCAGATCTAACCTTGCTGGGCCGAGGCCCCTGCTAAAGCTGTCCTGTATACTAGACCCTCTGGCCCATCCTTGCATCTACAGTGCCTCCTCCCCACAGGCTTATCTGACGAAGGAAGGAATGCTGAGCAAAGGAGCTATCGAGATGATTGGGGACATGATGAACGAGAACGCTGGATACTACAAGTCCCTCCTGGAGTCCCTGAGGATGGCTAGCATCTTCTCCAGAAATGATGAGTAAGGCTGATTTGGGGCCAGGAAGAACCCGGTCCCCAGCATTGGTTTATTGGGTATTTGCTATACAAGGGGCACTCAAGTAGCAATGCCTGCCTGACACAGGGCTGTATATTCATGAAGGTAATGCTTATAAAGTGTCTCACACAAGCGTGTAGCAAGATAGGTTCTTCCCATTTCAGACCAGAGGAATGGCCAGTACTGGGACATACAGGTCTGGTAGCGTCTCCTGCCTCATCTTCCCCTCTCCACCCCTGCAGATTTTCAGAGATCGTCGGTGGCTTTGACCAACTCCCCCATGGCATCAGTGCCAGCCTGAAGCCTGGCACCATCCATTTGAGGTCCAGAGTAGAAACAGTGGTGAGACACGGGCCTAAGGTTGAGGTTTTGTACCGCACTGATGGCCCCACCTCCCCGCTGCACAAACTCACTGCTGACTTTATCATCAACTCAGCCTCAGCCAAGGCCACAAGGCTCATCAGCTTCCAGCCACCCCTGTCCTCAGACAAAACACATGCCCTGCGCTCCGTGCATTATACCAGTGCCACCAAGGTGGCTTTGGTGTGCAACAAACGCTTCTGGGAACAGGATGGCATCCAGGGCGGCCACTCCATCACAGACCGGCCCTCACGCTACATTTACTATCCCAGCCACAGACTGCCAGGTGGCAAGGGCGTCCTGCTGGCCTCTTACACTGTGGACGATGATTCCCTCTTCTTTGCTGCCATGAAGCCCAGCCAGGTGGTGAATATTATCCTGGATGACCTGGCTGCAGTGCACCACATACCCAAGGAGGAGCTAAAGCACATGTGCCCAAAATCAGTGGTCAAGCGTTGGTCTCTAGACCCCCTCGTCATTGGTGCCTTTACTGAGTTCACACCCTACCAATTTGTGGACTATTCAAAGAAGCTCTTCCAGCCAGAGGGCCGCATCCACTTTGCTGGAGAGCATACCAGCCTGCCCCATGGCTGGATAGACACTGCCATCAAGTCTGGCATCCGGGCTGCCAAGAACATTCAGGCCATGGTGGACAAGGAGGTTACTCAGGGACAGAGGCCTCTCTAGAGGCCTTTTACAAACAACTGGGGTGGGTTTTTCCCCCAAGAACAGTCTCTTGGAGAATCTGGCAGAGTAGGCTGGAAGATGAAAGGAGGCAAAGACCCAGGAGAGAGGTCATCACTGGCTCCTTGGTCTTCAAGCAGGAACCCAGCTAGGAAGCTGGCAAGAGACATCACCCCTTTCCTGTCTCACTCCCTGCCTAGCTCTCTACAGGAAACAACAGAGCTGGGGTGCATGGAGGCATGGGTGGGAGTCAAGGCTGGAGAACCCTCGAATCAGCCTTCAGCATGTCTCCTGCTGCGAAACAATAAGAAACAAAAAAGAAAATCTGTGCCTGATTTGTATCACTTACAACTATAAGTTCCTAAACAAGCAGACAAATCCCAAGGTACCAGCACACTGAGTGACAGACTGACACATTCGCTCATACCCGCAATACACACAAACTCCATCGCTGTGTGCCTCAGCCTCTCACCTTGGCCCAGTGTGGGTGGAAAAGGAGGGGATCCTTAACTGCTTTTTTTCTGCTGTGCATTTGTGGGATCTCAGCTACCCTGAGAGACTCTCTCCCCCTCTCCAGCCAAACAGCTACCCATAGCTACCATAGTCTATACACAGTCCAGAGGGGACACCATGTTCATTTACAACTCCTTCTCTACTTGTTCCCTCACTAAAACCCTCCTGTCTTTACAAAACCAGCCTTCATTATCCTTCCTCAAATCCTCCCTCCACCCCTCACCAACTCCAAGGTCCTCTCCCCTCTGAGCCACAATTTTCCCTCTTAGAATGTACTGGACTGAAGACCTTACTTGGATCATGCCCCCAACCAGACCCGGAGACCCCCTAAGGCTAAGATCACATATTTTATGGTGTGTGTGTGTGTGTGTGTGTGTGTGTGTGTGTGTGATATTTGCACCATATGGCACCTGGCTGAGAAGTAGAAACACAGAGAGTATGAAACAGTGAGAATCAACCCCCTCCACCTGCCTCCCTATGTGATCAAAGATCAGTTCCCAAATCTGACTCATTATTTGTTCCAAATTCTTAGAAACCAAGAGTTATTTCTGAGTCTTGGGGGATCAACCTAGTAAAAAGAGAAAGGTAAACTGAGTCACAAGCACTCCTCATTTGACAGACTCTGGGGGACCCAGGAGGCAAGCATGATGAAGTGCTGGTTGGAGTTTTGTGGAAGACTGGCATACGACATGGAAGGGGGGAAGAGGGAAAGAAAACGCACATTTTCTACTGTAACATGGCCCATTGTTAAATCCAGACTTCTCTTCTCAGATACCAATTGTCAGTGGCAGTCAGGACCTTTTCAGTTCCGAGTAACAGAAATTAAACTGGGGTTTTCGGGGGTGGGGTCCTGTGTCCAGAAGTCCAAGAGGAAGCTGCTTTTTATCAGAGCAACGAGACTCCAGACTGAAAAAATAGTGTTAAGGGCCCAGAGTCTAGATCTAGGTGGGCTCTGCCCTCTTCTCCATTGCAGACAAACACCTGTGGTATGACATACACGAAGACACAAAATAGTGGGCTCTACTCCAGTGCAAACAGTCAGAAGATGCACACTCAGTCAAGCCGTTACAGCAAGCAAACCAGGTACTCTCTGGGGCCTGGAAATATACTCAACCACCATTCCCGGGGTTAAGCTGCTGTGCCTGGCTTCGGGAATCTGCACAGGGAAACTATCTAGGGGGTATCTTAGTGACATTAAGCAGCCACCCTTCTTTTGGAAGCCCCCCAAGGTGAGCTTAGGCTGGTCCCTTTTACAGCCATTAGGGTTAGAAGTGAAGAGTATTGTTTGATTAGTTCTAATCCCAACATAATATGGGGATTTGGATCTAGACATAGTCAGCAGTCTCTATCTATGTCTGGTTGAGAATGGTTAAGAAACAGATACTCTCCATCTAGGATACCAAACTCCAAGAAGCTGACTTCTGCTGCCCCTTGACTTATCCTTAAGATTACTGAGGGAGTTTCTAGGCAAAGTGGAGGTTTAGGAATTACACTTACCACCTTGGAGGGGGTCGTATCTCAGGGATGCCAAGATGAGCTGGTTCAGGTCAATAGGCCCAATCAGCCCAATGGGCCGGATGACTCTAGGAGCAGGTTTCTTTTGAATAGAAAATTTCTGCCTGGGTTTGGGACATTCAGGTATAACCTGACTCCCCAGGTTCTACCAGTTTCCCAATAATGGGCTTCCCGCCAGGCCCTAACCTATATGGATATGGGATTGCATTGCCTGTGGCCACAGGTAGGTGATGATGGTTTTCTCACTGATCTATGAAGGGATCAGTGCGCCTGCAAGAGGACTCAGTTTTGCAGCCCCACTGAGCACAATAGTATTTATTCTCCTGGCTTCTGGCAGCTGGAGACAGGGCATCAGTCAGGCAGGCATGATACTGGATAGATCTGCGCTCCTTCTCTTTACCGGTGGACCCACAACCCCAGAAGTGAATGAATCATCCCACAGGAGGCTCTGGTTGAATAGTTTACAAAAATCTGCCTGGAAGGTGGGTTGGGTCTCAGTGGATAGATTGGCTATGAGCTCCCCAGTCCTGGTCAGTCCTGGCTTATGGGGGTTTGGAGCCTTTCCCATGGGACACAAAGAAGAAAAATAGAACAACCATGATTATAGGTTCCATGTCAGTCATATCATTAGGGGGTCAGAGAATATAGTGACCCATCTGTGGCTATCTTCTGTAGCCTCCTTCCGCTGGGTCTGGTGTATCCTCAGCCTTCACCACTGTGGGGATGGTGAGGACCACGGGGCAAAGGCCTTTCTACACTGACTCCAGGCTCTGGGTTGAGATTCTCTTTACTCACACCAGGTTTCCAGGCTGGAACTTGTGGGCAGGCTCAGACTCTGGCAAAGGTGCAGCCTCTTGAACTGTCTAATGAATAGTCCTCTGTGTCTGTTGCAGGACTTGTAAGGACTTGAAGAGGAGATAGCAATGCTGCCTTATAACAGCTTAAGGAGGGAGGGGGCAGCCACCCAAATGATTTCAAATGGGTATATGGTAGGAGATTGGCCCAATTTTAGCTGGTCTCTGGGACACATTTAGTTAAAGTCTCTCTTAAAGTCCTAGTCATCCTTTGTACCTGCCCCGAGCTTAGTTACAAATCAACATTTAGGACCTTTGCCAGATTTGGAAAAACTGGTCATGAAGGCCAGGCCATTGCTGGACCCCAGGGAGAAGGGCAACCAAAATCTAGAAATTAACTCTTGGAAGAGTTTCTTGGGGACCACTGAGGCTGTTTCCATTCAGGTGGGATAGGCTTCCACCCACCCGGAGAAGGTATCTATGACAACTAAGAAATACTTATACCCTAAGAACCATGGGTAAATTCCACTCCCTAGTGTTCTCCAGCAATGGATTCCTTCCAGGGCCCCTTTTTTTTCCTTCCTTGGGGTTCACTTGCACACAAATGGTCCATCAGGACACCATGTCTTTGACAAGATTGTCTAGTTGAGGGATGAAATATATGGGCTGGAGTAACTCAGCAGTTTTTCATAGCCCCTGGTGGGTGACCTGGTAGAGTCTGATGACCACTTGTCTTCTGAAAACAGCAGGGAGTTGAGGTCTCCCAAACTGTAAGAACCACCACTCATTGGTGTCCTACTTGGTATCTTCCCTTTCTGCCATTTGGTCTCTTCCTGTGTATGATTTCGGCATTGGAATAATTAGGTTCAGATAGGGTGACCAAGATCTGGAGAGGCCCCACTGGTTTGAGGGCCGCTTTCTGGGTGCCCTGTTTCCTTAGACCTCCTGGGTTCCCCTTTTTGATGCCCTTAGCAATGGGCAGCATTGACCTCTTATGGCAGCTTGGGGCCTCTAGCAGGGCCAGCATTTCTTCTTTGTTTTTAAATTCCTTCCCGACTAAGGTGAAGAGTGCCCTCTCCCTACAGAGGGAACTATGGACATGGGCTATGGCAAATGCACACAGACTGTGTACCCAGTGATGGCTCTGCCCTTCCCCCAGTGAAGCACCTGGGTTAATGCCTAGAGCTTGGCCCTTTGCGCTGATGTCCCTCGGCTGAGAGATCAGGCCCATACTGTCCTGTCCAAGATGACAACTGCCGCCAGCATACCTGCTCCCATTGGTATACAGTACCTCTTAGGCTTTTGCAGGGGACATCTGTTTGTTCTGGTCTTATGGATTGGACCATATCAGTTGCTCCTATGCAGTCATGAAGGGGCACTGCTGGGTTATCATCTGGCAGTGGGCTGGCTGGGTTGATGGCTGAAGTTTTTTTTTTTTTCTGCAGATGTTTTTATTTGAATTAGAAACAAGATTGTTTTGCATGACAATCCCAGTTCTCTCTCCCTCCCCTCCTCCCCTACCACCCCTCCCACCTAAAACCCTACCTATCACATATCCTTTCTGCTCCCCCTGGATGGTAAGGCCTTCCATAGGGTGTCATCAGAGTCTATCGTATCCTTTGAGATAGGGCCTAGGCCCACCCCCGTGTGTCTTGGCTCAGGGAGTATTCCTCTATGTGGAATGGGCTCCCAAAGTCCACACCTATGCTAGGGATAAGTACTGAACTACTACAGGAGGTCCCATAGATTTCCGAGGTTTCCTCACTGAAATCCATGCTCCTGGGGTCTGGATCAGTCCCATGCTGATATCCCAGCTATCAGTCTGGGGACCAAGAGCTCCCTAATGTTCAGGTCAGCTGTTTCTGTGGGTTTCACCAGCCTGGTCTGGACCCCTTTGCTCTTCACTCGTCCTTCTCTGCAACTGGATTCCAGTTCAGTTCAGTGATTAGTTGTGGGTGTCTGC